CTGCTAATGCAAAGTTATTCTAAACAATCGAGTCAATCGTGGTAAAGTTTTTTTTATATTGTTTTTAGTTATCCATTTAATAATAAAGTTATTCAAAATATTGCCTTGGCTATTTAGTTCATAAATTAGACATAGTAATTGTCTAAATCACTTAACGAAGTGCACCAACGAGAAGGTAAGCCATAGGACTTTGCACTCCATCAGTAAACTGTCGTGTTGCCTAAGGTTAGCCCACTATTTCTGGATTTTTTTTTTTGTGATAGGCAGTTATGTACAAATATTTTTAAAACATTAAAAAAAAATTTTTTACTTTTTTTTTTTAAATAAATTTTAATAAATAAACAAGACAAAATATAATACAACAAATATGTAACAAGTAAAAAACATACAACAAATACGTAACAAGTAAAAAAAGTAACAATCAAAAAAGTAACAACCTAAATCACATGAAAACACTTTCAACATTAGGAATTAAAAGATATAGCAAATGAAGTATGAGTTTCACAGTTTATATAAAACAATGAATAGTAATAATTTGCTAATAAAAAATGATTTTCACAGTTTACATGTTTAAAACAATGACTAGAAATATTTTGCTATTGAGAAATTATTTACATTTACGAGATACTTTTAAAACAGTACTTAAATTTTTTACTCAGAAATTCAAAATTTTTATTTGAATAAAAACTTTAATTTTTTGTCTCCTTTGGATGCAAATATTTCAATAACATTAAATAGACATTAAAGTAAGTCCATTCAATCTATTTTCTGACATTTACGTACTTTCGTGTAAGTTTTTATTCTCCTAAGAGTAGAAATTGACCTTTCACACTAACAAGTTGTGATTGGTATTGTAGCAAGTATATGAAATGCCTCTAAAATGTTTGGAAAGCCTCTCATATCCCTAAACTTAAATGTATCTGAAATAGTAGATAGATAGATAGTCTAATTCAGCATTAATTGATGAGAAATGAGGAAGATCAGATTTACAAAAATTCAAAAATATCAGGAACTTTTCTTTCCATGGACAATATCTAAAAATTTACCTTATTAAACTAGCAGGAATAGCACAAAGACCACTATAAACAATGAAGCTCTCAATTTCAAACCTATTTTATTTATATATATAGTTCATTAAGAAGATGATTAAGAAGAGGCAATGTAATAGAAACTTTAAACTATCAGATACAGTATCACATATTTAATTATCTATATGCTTTTGAACACCACATGTTCTAGGTTTCTTTCCATCAATATCAAATGTTTTAGCCAATGCAAGAGCAATTTTATACCATTTGTTATGGTAAGCATCAGCATTTCTTTGTATTTCTTTTAAACGATTAGTCAAATTTTGAATTTCATTCAGTTGCTGGGAAATATCAAAAGATTTATTTTCAAGGGTGACACTGAAGCCTAGTGTGCAATAATGAAGAAGTACTTACTTTTTTTAATATAATTTAACATAATTTCTTCAATTGCATTTCCACAACATACAATTAACTCGTTTTGAATGTTCTTTGAAATGTATGTAGAATTTTTGGGAGCAGAGAGAAAATTGCTTTAGAATTAAATCACTTGCATCAACTCTTAAGTTTAAAAGCTCAATAAAATTACCCATCCCTGTAATATTTGAAGTTTCTCCAATTTCTCCTTGATATTTTCTATCGTCTCTATGACCTTGTAGAGGTATATCATTTCGACCTAAAAATATTATAGTCTTAACAATTGATTTAAGCTTTTTTTTTTGTTTTCTTCTATATGCTACTTCCTAAAAATATCTTGAAAAACTTCAATAGGAAAAGTGTTAATTTTAGTTCTAGATAAAAGCATATTATAACAATGTATGGGTTGATATGTAATCTGTCAACAGTTTTCTCATGATCATTTAAATCTTTTATAGCATTACGTCAGGTATTGAATGGTTTTTTAAACAATTTACATAATGCATATTTGTTTGGTATGTTTGTACCAAAAAGTGTATATGGAAGACAATATGCACCATCTTCAATTTTAGAGTAAAATTTTAAAGTAAGCAAAGAAAAGTCAACTAATCATTTTAGCAGAAAATGTCTTTTTCTGCTTTTACCTGTTAAAGGGAATTGGAAGCATTTATCTGGAACTTAGACTATTTATTAGAGATAACATTTCATTATCATTTGTTCCTGATTTTAATTTTTCACCACACAGATGATATGATGAATCATCATAGTTTAAATAAGATGCTAACTGATGTGTATTTAATAAACAATGTCAAAAACATTGTTTCCTTTAGTGGAACATTAGATTCAAGAGTGTTTTTATCACTGTTGTTGGCATCTTTTGAGATAAATATTTTAGTTTTAACTGTTTTATAACAAATATCAGACTTATCTGAAGTGTTCTTAGAAACAGTAGGAAAGAATAATTTAGACTGAATTGGTTTATGTATTTTGTTATTTGTAGGTGGAAAACTAGACTTAAAAATTTATATTTTTTGATCCTGAGTAAATTTGAATCACTTATAACAACAGCTGGTCATTTTTTGGGAAGATATTTAACCAGTGCCACAAAATAATTTGGCTTAAAGCATAAAACACTTTTATTTTTTGTTTTATCTAAATTGCACAACAAAATATTAATTGGATAATTTAATTTTTGGTTGCAAGGCTTTATAAGGGTATTAAAAAAATTATGATTTATGATTACTTTTTGAAACCAATATCAGCATAGATAGGTTTAATAGGTTGCTTTATAACATTATATAATGCTATTAGGCAAAGGAAAGATGACATTCAGAAATAATATTATCGTTAATTGTTGAAAAACTGTCAGTGTATTTAAACGAAACAGCAATAAAAAGCAAATTTAGAAAGCTGAGAATTCTAAATCTATGTTGAAAAAAATAATCATACTATGTGTAAAAATTTATGCTTTCAAATAATTCAATTAGTCAGTAATCTTAGAATTTTTGAAGTATGCTTACTGTCATTTAAAATCATAGATACTGAGCTATAAAGAAAATTTACATGTTTAGGAGACCTGAGAGAAATAGTAAAATGTATTCAAATTGAATAATAAGTATAATATACTAAAGTGTAGTATTAATAACAAAACAAAAATAGATTAACTATTATAATTTTTTTTATTAATATAACATTTTAGTATATACCATAATTTCTCATTTAAAAACTAAATCACTTTTATAGTTTATTTGTGTGTTTAATAATTCAATTTCATACACATTATCAAGAATATAAACCTGTAGTAAAATGTGTTAATAATTAGTTAAACACCAATAAATAAAGTTAAAATCCAACATAGATGTAGGTCCATTTTGTAATATTATTTTAATTAAATAAAACTTTTATAAAGCTTAAAACAAACAAAAAATACCTTAATGTTGTATAACCAAGAGTTCTTTTAGTTAAGGGTACAAAATCCATCATATTTGTGTTAAATTGGTAAGAATCCTGTATTTTTGGAAACATTAAATTTAATTCCGAAAGCTCTTTAATGAGTCTAGTTTTGTAATTTAAGACATTAGACTTATCATAGGCAAAAAGCATGTTTTGTTTCTATTGCATAAGCAACTAATTCTATATTTAAATAAGGATTCATGTTTATAATATTTAAATAATCAAGTAATTAAATAATCAAGTAAAGTCACGTTATCTTACTTTCGATACTAATGATGATTTCACGGTAGCGAATAAAAAACCCTAAGTTATTAGCTTCTATTTAACAGAATATTTTTCTAAATCGGACACGTTAAAAACAACTTTGTGGCCAAGTTTTATTTTCACGGTTGAGAGATCTATATTTTATTATTTATTTCAGAGCATTTATTGATAGAATAAAACGTCGGTAACGTGTAATAGGAACCGTTGTGGCCATGGCAGGAATCTCTATGGCCAAATTCCTTAAATAACGGCAGACACATTGAAATTTCAGGGATTTTCCTCTAGCAAAAAAATCCGAAGCTAAGTTGGCTGCCGTTAAATTTAATCTCTATGGCCATAAGCTGTTAAGGGTTTCCATAAAGTACGTCACGGAGAGTTTGACTCTCTTTTGCAGAGATTTTAGCAATGTTTACCGCGAAGTTTTTGAAATTTAAATTTAGCGTGGCGTAGTTTATCAATAACCACTAGACGAAAAAAGTCTTAAAATTGCTTATATTCTTTTTCAATAACATATTTTCAAAAATATTTCAATAATTATTTCTAAAAGTTTTAAAAGATCTTTGATAAAAAATATATAAACTTTCTAATAAATCTATCTAATTTTAAACTATGTGGCCATGGCCACAATGACCACCCCTTAGATCCGCGCCTGTAGAGTATCTGCATTCTTTATATTTATTCTTAACTTTTTCACTTGTAATTATTTTCTTTTATATTTGTATCTTAAACATTGGTAATTTAAACCATGTAGTAAATAACAAAAGAAAAAAAAAAAAAAATCATCAAAATAAAAATTTAAGCAACATTTGAAGGTCTGCTTGATTTAGTGAAAGTCATACAACAAGCCCCACCCTACCCTACATAAAGTGCGTAAGGTTCTTACAAATAATAAATGAATGATGTTGGTAAGCCTAAAATTAGAGGTTGATCGTTTATTAAACAAGGTGAAATATATTTTTTTTACGTAATTGGAGAGAAAAAATGTTAAATGTTAATAATGATTTAAAAACCATTCATAAAAACTTTAAAGATTTTATCATTGATAAAATCTACTACTAACATGTACCGCAGAATTAACAAGAAACAATTTCCTAATGGAGCATTTATTGCAGTTTAATTGCATTGACAGATCAAACATAACAAACAATACTTATTTCAAATAACTTATCCTGAATATATAAGCATTCAAATTTTAATATTAAATTAAACATAATTAAATTAATAAAATAAACAAATTAAACTATACAAACAACGAGTTCAAGCTCAGAGATGGGTGAGCCAAAAGCACGTCCGTCTCGATTGTCTCGAAAAGCAACAAACAAATTTTTGTGTAATGTTGCGATGGGGACGCCGTATTTTGACAACAAAGTATGGCGTTCTTATATTGTTATCTTAAAAAAGAACCATTCTTTCCTCTAAAGCTCTTGAGTTTTTTTAGGTATCTCACTCTAACACTATTAAAATTAATATAATTTTTTTTTTTTTTAATTTTTAAAAAGTTTTAATAAATTATAAAAAAGTTTATTAATGAATTATACCTATCTTTAAATAAAAACATTCGTATTTCTTTACGTTTTTAAAAGTTGTTTTTTGATATCTATTGGCTTTCAAATATAAGGTGTCATTTTTAACAACAATCAACCAATCTCTAGATATATCATTTTAATAAAACAAAAATAGTATTTATAAAAATGAAAATAACAATATGTAACTTGTTTTTAGAAATATATTTTATATACCTACTTAATTAGACACAGTTACAAACAAGTAAAAATTGATAAAACATAAGATAAAGCATAGGTTTACTATTATAAATTCTATTAATTAAAAAGTTGGATAATACTATTTATAATAAAAATATTCGCTATAATAACAACAACAACAAGTCTTTTTATTATTTTATTATTATATTATTATTACTATTTTTTGTTATCATAACTACAATTATTATAATTTCTATTATAACAGTAATAAACAATCACATTTACTTTATTTTATTTATATATGTTTATTAGAACAATAAATACATGCTGTTATAGACACAGTCCCACACAATGCCTGGATTAAATATAAATAAAAGTGGAGTATTATTTTATTAGAACCATTAGAACCATGCAATGTGCTGGGTTTAACTTCCATTAAAAATTTATACACTGCTTCTGGTGAAAAAGTTACGGTTTCAATTCTTATTGAATCATTTAGATAATTATGAATAAGTGGAGAATAATTGTATCACTTGTAAATACACTTCTAAAGTGATTGCTAAACACATTACTAATTTTTTGTTTATTAGAAGTTAACTTATTATTATTGTTTTTATCTATTAAAGGTTTATTATGAATAAGAAATAGTTAAGAAACTTGCAAATATTATTATTTTTAACTATCTTTAACTATTTGATGAATAAGTATCGCTTCTTTGCATTTACTAGAATATTTATCGTATGCTGTTTTGTGTGCAATCCTTTTAGTAATCAATGATCTTCTCCATAAGATCATTTGATACATTATATATATATATATATATATATATATATATATATATATATATATATATATATATATATATATATATATATATATATATATATATATATATATATATATATATATATATATATATATATATATATATATATATATATATATATATATATATATATATATATATATACTTTTTATTTTTTATAAACTTTTTAATTAAATAACAAAAATATATTTTCAGAGAATAACTAACAACAATAAGCTTTGAGTTTTTTAGGTTTTATTATTAAATTATTTATACAAATTAATAATTTTTAGTTTTTATTTGCAAGCTTTAGTTTTAGATAATATTTTTTTTTAATAATTGTTAATAGGTGCAGAGATTGGGGAGGGGAGGGAGTCAGGAGGTTTAAATAATGAAAGAACCCAAAATAACTATTTGTTTATTATTACTAAGAATGGCAAAAGTTAAAAGAAACTAAAAATATTAATATAGAGTTGCTAACTTTAAAGAAGTTTCCATAGCAAAGAAGTTGTGTAAGCACATCACCGTATTGATTGCATATAATTTTCTAATACATTGCAGATATTCTTCTTGATTATCAAAAAGAGTTCAAAAAAACTTTTATTAAATATTGCAATATTAAAATGACAACATTATATAAAGTTTCTTAATTATTTAGTAAAATTCTGAAAAGTGTTTCCTACCTTTTCAAAATCTGCTTGGTATCACAATTTTTCTTCAGTAGTTAGATTTTTCCAAATGTAATTAAACTTGAGGTCTGCTAAAAGCATTTGACAAATTTAATTTACTTAAAGTTAAGCCATTTTTTAAAAAATTTAGTATTAAAATTTAAAAAATATATTGTTATGTTTTTTATTTTAATAGATTCTTTTAACATTAAAGCTTTTTTTTTGATTAAAAACCTTTCTTTAAATCTAAAATAACTTTTTTTATAAGATTCATTTTGTACCCATTTAGGGTTTAATCTTTTTTTAAGTGCATACTTTGCACCTATCCTAGCTGTTTTTTCCATAAGTGAAAATTTGCTAATAAATAACAATAAAGCTAAAAGTCCATGTGGTGTTATAGGCCTTGGTCAATTTTAATATATTTTTTGACTGAAATTTGACTGAAAATGCAATTTAAAATACAAAAAGGTTCACAATTTACCCTTAGGTTTGTTCTTTTTTGTATATAGTTTTTTCTTTATTAAACTAAAATAAAATAGATGCAATTTAAATAGTTTTTGTCATATAACACTATACTTAACTTTCTCATTTTAAGCATAGCTTAGTAGTAATTTGCAATACCATTAAATACCTAGAATGTAAAAAACTATTTAAATAATACTTAATAAGTTTAATGGTTGTTTTGAAACATGATAATTGTTATATTTTAAAATTTTTTTTAAGTATTTTAGTTTTAATTAGCATATATTATTTTTATTTAAGATTTTATAAATATTTACATCCTTTAATCACATTTTTAAAATTAGCTGACAGTCTTTTAGTCATGCAAAATCACATTTTTATAATTAACTCATATTGTCATCATTCTACAATTAGATTATTCTTACAGTCTAAATTAACTCACAGTCGATCCTTAAGACTATGAAGATAATTTTTTTATTTTAAAAAAATTATTTAAAGTTTGTTAAGTCTTAAAATTTAAATTAATACATTTTTAAACAAAAATGTATTAATTTAAATCTTCATTATAAAAAATCTTCATTATAAAAAATGTTTGCACTAATGTAGTTATATTTATGTATTAACTAATAAATTCAATTGTTTTTAACTACATGTTTATAAATAGTGCCAGTGAAGAAACAAGAATAAATGAAAGAGTTGCTGCTGTTAAAATACAAAGCTGGTATCGATCAATCAAAGTTCAAATTTACATCAGGTAGTGCATTACGACTTTTATAATCATTGGAAAACTTTCATTTACTCTGGCATGTAAATACTAAATCTAAGGACTAGGTGATGTGATTAAATACTTATGTTGTTATCAGACATTAAGAATGCAGTTAGTAATTATTTAAAAACATTTTAAAAGTATAGTTAATTGATAAGCTGTATTTTTATTTTTATTGTATCATTTTTTCCTTCTTGCAAAATCATTTGTAATTAAGTTTTTTTTTGTTTGATAAAAAATATTGTGATTGCTTACACCACCTTCCCATTTAACATTCATTAGAAAATTTATTTTTCCTCAATAATAAATTTGTTTACCACAATAAAAAATTTAGTTTACTACAATAATAAAGACCATAAAACTAGAAAATTTTTAATTTTAAAAATATTGCTTAAAAAAGATAAACTCAAATAAACATAAATTTCTTAACCCAGTGTGGATTTAATTTTTTTATAGTTTTTTTTTTTTTTTTTTGCAAATGTAGGGAAAAAGAACAGAAAGTTCAGGAAATTTATAAAAATTTAGAGAGAAGCACAGGAAATAGTGTCAAATTTAGATGATTGTGAACCCCAAAAGACTGGTTTTCCTTCACTAGTAAATTTTTATCATTAAAACTAAAATGTTTTTGTGAAGAAAAGAAAAAGTTCATTCATATGTCCTGATGCTAACGATATTTTTTTACTGAACCCTTTAGATATGGTTGTGATTTTTAAATATGTTACTCTAACAAAGCTGGAAATAACAACATTTTTATTTTTATTTAAATATATTTTGTAAAAAAGCATTTTAAAATAGATATTACACAAATTTCATTGTAAAATATACTAATATTACATATTTTGAATAAGAGATTTAAAATAGAAAAGAGTATAGTTATAGAAAATTAAACTTGGTTATTAAAATAGAAAATTAAATTTATAATTTAAAATTTTACTAATTGAATTTAAAATTTAAATTTTGATAATCCTGAAACAAAAGTACTCCTCCAGGTTGTTAAAGTACCCCCTTCCCCCACCCCAGTTGTCAATTATAATTATTTAAGCTTACTTTTAAAACAGACGTAGAATTATCAAATATCAAGATCTGGCATTTATTAAAAATTTTGACAAGAAAGATAAAAAAATTGGACACTTAATTCGATAGCATATGAAAAAATGTGATTTTAGGTATGTTGTGCAGAAAAATAAAGTAAAGTTTCTTCCACAATCAGCTCATATCACTGCAAGCAAGTATATTGGTGAGCAAATAAATTATAAAAATTGTGTGTTTTTGAAAAATAGACCCAAACAAATAAATTCAATAAACCCATGGTTAACTAAATTGCGCAGTATACATTGTCAGCCGAGAAGCAAGAGGCTGTATGACCATTTTTTGTGCTATTGAGAAAATTGAGTTAAAAATATTATTATATCACTATGATCGGTTGAGGTTTGGATGATTTTAAATTGAGTTTTCTCAAAAACCACTTGGCAATTATGAAGAGAATATTGAGGAAAAAAAGCAAATGTGAAAATAGTGTTAAAAATTTCAGAGATTTAAATTACGTCATAAAGTTAAGACTAAATTTATTTTTATTGAAATGAAATTAATTATGCAAGCATCATTATAAAAAGAAAATCATTACAATCGGTTAAGTTGTCTTAGAGAAAACTCAATTTAAAATCGTCCAAATTTCAACCGATCATAGTTACATAAAAACCTCCTGCCAGAAAGTCTAAATGATTATTTAAAAATTTAAAAAAAAAAGAAGTTATACTATTTTAGAGACCAAATTTAGTGGATACACACTCCACTAGTTGACAAATATTTGTTAATAATATCAGAAAAAATAAAAAATATGGACATAAAACCTCATGGTTTCCAGCTGACAAAATGTCGATGGTAGGCAAAAAAATTATACATCCTCATATTTTAAAGTGCTATTTGAACTCCTCTTCTATTTCAGGCGTACAATTTATGTTACATGCAATAAAGATTTGTGTTAAGGAGAACTTGCATCCTAGATCCGTAAGCACTTTTGATCCTATAGTGTTATCTCCATACTTAAATAACTTATTAAAGAGGGCTGATAACCAGTGTGTTAAAAATATTGTATCTTCAAAATTAATTGTGTTTTGGTTAGAGAATAGACTACTATAAAATTTATTTCTAAAAAGTTTGATTTTGACAGCAAAAAGTAATTATTTTACTTTTACAAAGAACCTCACATCTTTAATATTTTTTTGAGTTAAGTAATTTTGTAATTGAACTATTATATATATATATATATATATATATATATATATATATATATATATATATATATATATATATATATATATATATATATATATATATATATATATATATATATATATATATATATATATATATATTTACAGTGAAAAACCCAGAGTTTATTTGGGGATACCACTTTTTTTTTCTGCAACGTTGCACAGTGAGTCCAAATCACGAAAAAGTGGCCAAAATATTTTTCCGATTTTTTCTTTTTATCAAAAGCAGTTTTTTTATACTAATCTTATTTAAACTCAAAAAAAAAATTCTTTTACTGTAAAGGAAGTTGAAATTAAATTGTTTTCGGAAAATATTCATGCTAAAGTGTACAAGAGTTTGTTTGCAAGATTATTCAAGCGTTTTCTTTGTTGATGATTAAGCATGAAAAGATTAGAACATTTAAACATAATTGAAAAAGTTGGTATTAATCATGTGGGTTTGCAAGCTGTTTTAGAAGCTGAAGTGAGAAAAAAAATGATCACCTAGGAAGAACTGTCCGATGTGGAACTCTCAGAAAAAATTAGACTTTTTTTTCTGAAATTTAGAGTAAAGTATACAAAGCATTATCGTAATTTTGCAAGACTAACTAAACAAGAAGTACCCTGGTTAGAGGGTGAGTTGTTTCAGAATAAAAAAGCTGAACTTGATTTAGCTTTAAAAGCCGGTAGACCAGAAAAAAATGGACAGAGTGTTCATTAAGAACAAAAAGAAGGAAAGTTTCAAGGTAGTTTTAACTTAATTTTTAAAAGTAATTATTGTGTTTCTTTTAAAAAACATGTGACTTTAAAAACAAGTTAAATTATTTTATATATATATATCTATATATCTATATATCTATATATCTATATATCTATATATCTATATATCTATATATATATATATATATATATATATATATATATATATATATATATATATATATATATATATATATATATATATATATATATATATATATATATATATATCTATATATCTATATATATATATATATATATATATATATATATATATATATATATATATATATATATATATATATATATATATATATATATATATATATATATATATATATATATATATATATATATATATATATAAGAAATGATACTAAGGAAAGCTGTTTAAGTGACTTATAAAAATGAGTTGAGTTTGAGTCAACTCATTTTTTTAAGTGACTTAAAAAAATGAGTTGAGTAACCTTTATGAAAGTTTGCATTATCATAATGGAAACACTTTAATCAATAATGATTATGTTTTTTTAGATTGGCTAAAACCCATTCAACTAAAGAGTTAGCAGAAGCTGCTGTTGTAAGTGCTAAATCAAGTCCTGAAAAATTGGATTTGGGAATGTTTTCTCAAGTTCAAACAAGCAAAACAAAAAAAAGAATAAACATCAGCCAACTATGATGTCTGCAGAACAAGCTTTATCACTTAAAATTCATTGTGATTTGAGTGATTTGCAATATCAGATTAATTAAAACTTATCTCTGATGCAAAATGCTGACATTTATTCCCCGTTAAAAACAATCCTAAAATCAAAAGTAGATTGTTACCCAGAGGGTTAGCATATTACAGAAACATCTGCAAAGTGTAGTTTACAGAGCATGGTTAACCATACTTTGTCCCGAATTTTGAAACTAAAGTCTAAGCAGCTTCAGAATTTAGATGAAACTGTGACTAGTGGAGTATTTAATTTAAAATGTGGCATGGATCTTCACAAAGTATTTATAAACAAAGATTTGATGATACTGATCTTACTACTGGAATGCAAAATGAACAATCAGTATTTAAAACTGCAATAGTTCCTTTGAAGTTAAGAATTGGGGATACAAACATCTGGAATAAACCAAAACCATCTAGCCCTCATTTCTGTAGATCTCTTCAAATACAATACCAAAAGGAAACAACTAAACTCATTGCAGAAGAAGAAATAAGTCTTAGAAAACAAATTGAAAATCTTGAGGACTATATTTTAGATCTACATCTCTTTAGTAACGAAAAGCATGGTTCCATAAAAATTAAAATTGTTGTTGACTTAACTATGCTTGATGGAAAATTGGTAAATGCTGTCATGGCTTTGAATTCATCGCAATCGTGCAATGTTTGTTTTGCAAAGCCAAGCGATATGAACAATCTAGTAAAAATCAGAATGTTCACTCCTGATGAAAAGTCTCTTAAAATGGGAATATCTACATTACATTGTTGGGTTAAACTGTTTGAGTATGTTCTACACTTAGGATATAAAATGAAAATTAAAAAATATCAGGCAATATCAGAAGAACATAAGCTTTCTGTTTTTGAGCAAAAAAATTAAATTCAGAATCAGTTTAGAAGTAAGCTCAGTCTTGTTGTCGATATGCCAAAGCATGGCTATGGTTCTTCAAGCACAGGTAACACAGCCAGAAGAGCATTTGAGAATGCAGATACTTTTGCAGATATTACAGGAGTTGATTTTAATATTATTGTTAGAAATGTAATGAAAGCTGTGTGCAGTGGGTACCACCTTGATTTAGAGGCTTTCAAAAAATATTGTTTAGCTACTTCTGAAATGATAATTGAAAAATATAACTGGTACATAATGCCACTGTACACAAGCTATTAGAGCATGGTTATCAAATTTCTGATTGCTTTGAACTCCCAATTGGTGTATATTCAAAAAAGGCTCAGGAAGCACAAACTAAATACATTCGAAATGCAAGACTAAACCA